CCGTGGGAAACTTTATCTTATCTTTTAGATAAACTTAAAAATCAATACGAGCACATTTCAAAGAATCAGGTGTAGGTACTCAATTTTATTTACCAGTAAGTTGGTTTTCGTAAATCGCACGTATATTAGTGGAAATAAAATAATCGTACATTTGAAAACAATAATGAATGTTAAGTTGTAATTGTAAATATTGGATAATAAAAATTCGTTTAAACACAAGGTCAATCAAATTATCAGTCTATTATCGAGACTGAGCTGGAATTAAAATAAATCTTTACAAATGCCTCGCTGATAAAAATAGTTGGGGGAAGGCATGATATGCTGCAAGAAGCTAGTTTATGTTACAAGGTCTAAAAGTTGACTATGAGAAGAACACTTTTCGTCAGAGTTTCATGCATTACTTTTTATTGGAATATGCTTAGAAATGTATAGGTATGCGGTATTAATACACTTGAGACCTAAACGATCTATTGTGTCCCCTTCTGTCGCTAATGCAGCAAGGACATAGTCTTCTCAAGGAAGTTTAGAATTTGGAGTGACTTCAAGTTAAGTAGATCGCCCTCATCTATTTGGTATGCTCCTAAGTATAGTGCCCTTGGATTCGGAGTGATGCATATTCAGTCAGAATGAGAATAGAGTTTTAGATAATTTTTTACCTAGTATCCTCAGGATACTACTGACCTTACAATAAAAATTATGTTAAATATATATAATAAATATAATAAATAATAATGTTAAACAGTTAAATGAAACAAATTTATGACAATCTTTATTAACTCTAAAACTAAATTAAAATTGTAAAAAAATGCACAAAATTAAAAATGAGACACAATAAAAGAAAATGTAATTACAAACAACATTGATATACGTCAGAGAAAACGGAGAAAATTATTTATTTTCTCTCTATCTTTGATTCTTTGATTTAGTACTGCTTAGTTTCTATGAAAAACTTGTAGTAGCGGCAACTCCGCTAGTTTTTCGATTCTTGTTAGCGATTCCGGCGCTCGGTCACTTTTTCTCTTGACAGGTAACAAAATACGACTTTTTATGAAATTACTTTTTTCCCCGGTATGAATTTGTTTCCGGACAGCTATCCATTTTTGAATTTTCGGTACCCAGACAACTGCACCGTATGTCAGCATACTTTGGGGGACAGACCCCGTGCGCCCCATGATTCGACGGTATTGTTCATGAGTAATGTATGCTTTTGGTACTCTGTTTTCTAGATGTGAGTTCTATATTAACTTGCTGTCAAAGGTGAGAGCTAGGTACTTAACCTCTGTTTCAAAGTTTAGTTTTATATTTTGGAATTCTGAGGGTTTTAGTTTCATGTTTATCCCTTTTCTTAAATATTCTGTCTTCTTGGTATTAATAGACAATGAATGGTCCTTACACCACTGTTCTATAATATTGAGAGCTACTTGCATTTTTTGGCAGAGTATGTTCTCGAAATTCCCTGTTTTCAGGATAAACAAGTTATCTGCGGCGTACGCTATTGTGTAGACTGTCATTATTGAGGCGGCTGATGAGGGTGTCTAAGACCATGTTCCACAGTAGAGGTGATAGTACCCCTCCCTGTGGACTTCCTCTCGCAACCAAGCCTCTTATATTAAAATATTTTACTCTTATGTTTACTGCTCGCTTAGAGAGCTTGTTATGTATCTACCCACTAACCATCTGCGGAACATTCCTGTTGGTTAGTGAGTATCTTGGGGAAGGTCTTATCAAAAGCACCTTCTTTGTCTATGAAAATACCTAAGGCGGACTTTTTATTGTCCAGGGGTATCTCTATGCGGCCTAATTATTTAAAAAAATGAACATTAGGCCTACTTAAAATATTTATTTTTGACTAAAGTAAATTAAAATTTCAAAATTTTTGATTAAATTGTGGTAAACAAGGTAGTAATTATCTGTTGATATTAAAAGGTCTTTTATTATACAGAGTAAGAAAAAACATTTTAAATTTTCTTTCCATAAAAATGTCTTTAATTTTTTAAATGGATACATTATTTTTTAATATTTCGGTATATTCTAAGGCCTAAAATAACCACATTAATGCGAGTTTATTTCCTCATACTTAAACATCTACTTCTGACATTAGCGGAAATAAGAGAAATTTCAATTATTTTCGATGGAAAAAAAAATCTTGTAACTGTAAAAGGACAGGACGCTTCTGTTAACCATGGTAGAATAATAAATAATAAATGTACTAAGTGGTCGTAATTAACTAGAAAATCCTAAAAGACATCCATAACAACAGTTTAATTTAATACATTTTCCAAAACCTCTTTTCAAACAAATATAAAAATTAGCACCACTCTCCTTATCTTCAAAGACAAGATATTTAGGAAACCAGTTTTATTCTGCGGTGTAGCCGATCAGCGAGAAGATCTCGTTTTGTTTCCATTCGTTTGGATCATTGCTGTAATTTTGTTAATAATGTAATTATGACAAAGCATCTATTCGTAACAAGTACGTCCGGTATAGTATACAGAGGCACGCAGGTAGTATAAATAACTCTTGGGCGTTATACCACAATATTTTAATTAAAAAAATGTGACTTTAATTAATTTGCATAATTCGTTGTAGGATTTGATGGGTGCCATATTAGCAGTAATTTAATTTCTATTGATGTGACATCTAGATTATAAATCGCGGTATGTTACCGTTTTGAAGCTGGTGGTGGTGTAAGTCAAATGGCACCATCAATCATTTGTAAGTCGCCCCGGTGAGCCACGGCAAATAATAATAGCCGTCCCTTCCGCGGGCAAACTCAGTCGGCTTTTGGGGTTAAAATTCACTCATGAGAGGGTGACTTATAGGGAGAGTAATGTTATTATAAATAAATTGGATTACAATGGGGATACTCAAAGTTATCTATTAAAAAGTATTGTATACTTGGTGCATTAAATTAATAATAAAATTTGCTTTCAAATGAAGTGTCAAACTTTACAATATGTAACAGTTTCTAATGCAGCTAGAGGGCGCTAAAATCAAAAGTAACGCAATCACCAGTTATTTACAGAATTCCCCTTTAAAATGACTTTTCAATGGAGTTCTATACGATCCCTCTTGTTATCTAAAAAAAATCTGTAAAGTATTTTACATCCCTCGATATAAAAATTGTAAAAACAGGGAACTGCTTAGCACTTAAATTTTAATATTTTAAAATTAAAACCACCAAATCAAAAACCCTTTTTTACATTTCTCTTCATCGATCTTCCTCTTGATCACACTCGAAATCTCAATTTGCGTCCAGTCTGTATTCTTCTTCACGTTCACCGTTATTGAACAATAATGAACGACTGCTAAAATGGTTCAGTCACACAAACCAAAAGGACACTTTTTATTATTTCCATTTAATGGGAACATTTTTTGATTAAATACCATTCCTTTCAACGCCCTTTTTAATTTTTAAAAACTTAATTAGGATTTGTTATATTTGACTTCTAAAATTCTCAGATACCAATTTTAGTCGAAATATGCCGATTTTTAAAAATATCTTTTTTTAAACTGCTCACCTTGAATATAACTAATCGAAAGTTTAACTGGTTTTGAGCCAGAAAGAAACCTTATCTGCATACAAAATTTTAAGTTTTTCTATAAAGCCGTTTTTGAGCTATCGCGCCAACATACAGACGACAGACAAACCGACGAAATATATTTTTCGTATTCTAGGATCCCTGCTGGTAATTGCCAAGTACGGAAGCATATCCATTGCATGAAACTGTCAGGCTGCAGAGGGTGCGAACAAGAAGATGAAACTATTGAGCATATCCTCTACGATTGCCTGACGCTCTCATTTATTAGAAGATTTATGTTCGGCGAGATTTATTTAACACCGGCCGATACAAGAGAAGCACATCTTGGCGACGTTGCCAACTACGTTAAATTTGTAGGCTGGCACATGAGCTAAGAGGTGTCTATCAACTTAGTAGGATGCACAATGGGCCTAGTGAGGCCTAAGTGCCGTGGGTTAACCCACCCTCTACACGTTACAGATACAGATAACGTAATAATACACAGAACTAATAAAATAAAAATATTGGAAAATGCCACTAACCCCGTGTAATTAAATAATAAACCACAAATTCTAGCCAAAATAATGTCACAAATAGACGCGTTCTACAAACTGAATGAATCTAAATGGGAACGGACCTGTAAATGCGAGCTTCATATTATAGCATTGGAACTCCCGATTTGAGTGGTAATGCCTATTGAATCTGTAGGTTATCGAATCGTGAATATTGATACCGTATTTAATATATTTTTGTAAATGTAATTACATATACATATTATTAGTTGATTATTTAAGTTATTTTGTTAGATTTGATTAATATACTTGGCAACACTACAGGGACAGGTCAGGTACAGTAGGTTTCAATTTCTGCTTAAATGTCCCATTATATTGGCATTCTATTCTATTTCTATGGTAAAAGCATATGTCATTAAGTAAATAATGTGAAAAATATCACCTTTCTTACTTTTTCAGATCAAATTCAGATTTAAACTTCTCCTGGGTGGAGAAGCTTTCATCTAGTAACGCAAGGTAAGCGGCAATAGAATATGCAATTTATATACTGTCGACTTACAACACTAAATTCATATGTATATAGCTTCAGAAAGAAGCTTACAATCAAACATTGTGCTATGGAAAAACAATACAATCTCTAAAAACATAGCAACATAAGATAACCCATTCTGTCATAGGCATCATATAACAAATCCATAAATACACACGGTAATTAAGATTGAATGTCATGAATTATAGAATTCATTGTAATGAACTAGGAAGGCCTAGGAAAGGTGGTAAAAAATAGGTCAATGACAACCCCCCGTTAACAAACTGAAATAATAAAAAATTGTTCAGACGAGCAATTTTTAAAAAAATATAAATCCATTCGTGATAAAAAAAAGTCAGTTGCAACAAACTGTTTATTTAACAAATCTATATTATTTCAAAATTGTCACGTATAAATTAAAATAAATATTTAACTTACCATGTAACTGTAATGATGGAAACATATTAGTTGTATTTATAAAGCCTGGAACAAAAAATTAAAATGTAATTAAATTATTCGATCTTCTGCTTAGTTTTATAAATGTGTGTGAGGTAAAACGGCTAAATTTTATGTAGATCTAAATAGCTCAGTCATAAATTTAATGACTGCTCAAATAGAAAATTGTTTGTGTCTATAAATACCTTTTTTAATAATCTATGTTGATATAACTTAGCTGATAATTTTTCAAAAATATTTATAAGGTAAACCACGAAGGTGATCGATGTATAAATCGAAAAACAGGAAAAATTTTTATCAAAAATGTAATAATAAAAATATTTATGGGATACGCATTAAAAATAGGCATAAATTACATTTTTTTATATGGATAAATTGTCGCTTTTTTGTCGTAAATTTGAAATAAACCCCAGTTAATTCTAATTTTGACAAAAATTAACATAAATGATATTTTTTTATATGGATAATTTGTTGCTTTATAGTTGTAAATTTGTTGAGGAAAAGAATTATTTGTCGCTAATTCCCTTTTTGAAATAAACCTTAGTTAATGCTAATTTTGATGGAAAATTAGCACTACCAATCATGAAAATGAGAATAAATTACATGTTTATATGGATCATCTATCGCTTTATATTATAGTTGTAAATTTTTTGAGGAAAAATTTTTTTTTCGCTCATCCCCTTTTTGAAATAAACCTTAGTTATTGCTAATTTTTCAGGAAAGTTAGCACTACCAATCACGAAAATGAGCATAAATTACATTTTTTTTGTCCTAAATTTGTTGTGGAAAAAAATATGTTTCTCATCCCCTTATTAAAATAAACCGCATTACATAACCTCTAGTAGTGTTCGTGGAACAAGCAACGAATAATTTTTTGCGACTATGTGATGTTTGAAGGCGAATGCTACAAATAAAACGAACAGAAATGAGAGAATTCAACACCAAACTTTTTCTACTAATTATTAGTATTAAAAATTTGATTTCTGTCAAGTCAGTTCCACCACGTTAGAAATTTAAATTTTTAATTATTGAATGATTTGTCGCTTTTTCGTAATTTTGTCGTAAAAAAAAGGAATTTGTAGCTTGTTCCTTTTCTAAAATAACCCATGCATGGTAACTTGACGATCCCCAATAATTCTAAAATAGCCAATTTTATCATTGTTTCACCGTTTTTTGATCATCAATTTAAGGGATAAAAGGGGTAGGATTTACTTTTTTTAATGACCAAACCCAATCGGATCGGCTTCGAATCCTACTGAAGACCATGTGAATTTATTTGCATTGTTCTTTATAGGATTTGATGGATGCTGAATTAGCAAAAATTTAATTTCTGTTGATATGACATCCAGATTATAAAAATCGCCATGCGTTACCGTTTCGATAATGGTGGGTGGGGTTTTCCGGATTTTCCTCACCTGTAAGTCATTCCGGAGTACAACAGCAAATATTATCCGTCCCTTCCCTTACACAAGTCGCTTAGTTGGATTCAGGGGTTGAAATTCACTCGTAAGGGGGTGAATTAGGGAGAGTATTATTATAGTATCTCACATTCCTTAGATCTTACAAATAAATTACTATTTAAAGACTCTTTAAAGCATAAAAAATACGTGTTTTTTTGGTTTTTAATTAGTCAATGATTTTTTTTACATACCAAAAACCGAAATTGTTTCCTACATAAAAATTTGAGTCAGGATTCCTTCGACATTTCGAATAAGTTGGTCATGATTTTTTTAATAATACTTCAAAATCAACAAAAAAATTAAATAAGAAATCATGGCAAACTTGTGAGAGCAAGATTCAAATTTTCTGTCCATTTTTTAAAGAGAGATTTCAAAATTTTTTGTTTTAATTTTTGATTTAGCACATTTGAACGATTCTCTTTGAAAAAAAAATCCCTAATACGACTTTTTTAATATTGCTGTTTATTTTAAATCGTAAGTAGCATCGTGAAAAGAAAGTAACATAACCTAAAAGTACAATTTACTGTGAGGTTTAATCTGGTGATAGAAATGTTTTAAATCGATAATATACAGGGATTTCATTTCAAAACTAGCCACCCAAAATAACTTTTAAAATATCTTTTAAACAAAAAACACATTAATTTATATTTACGGGGGGACACATTTTACAAGTATCTGTAACCGTGCAGTTTCATCCCCTAAGCGGTGGTGAATATCACTTCTAAAATTTTAAATAGAAAGGGGTATCATGTGATAGCTCTTCTTAAAGGTATCTTTTTTTCCAATCTTTTGACACATTATTTTTTTAAATCGGATTAATTTTTCACCAAGTTATGACCTAGAAACCAGAAAAAATTAAAAATATTGAATTAAAATGCATGAGTATAAATACCGAGATAAACAAGTTAGCAAAAAGCCTTAAATGTTTTTTGCGTAAGTTATTTTTGACCGTAAATTAAAACAATTTATTAGTAGATTATTGGTTTCGTTGTGTACTGACAATTTAATTTTGACAATGGTTTATTCTTTACAAGAAAGAATTAAAATAATCTTTATTTATGGTGAAGAACAACGCTGTGCACATTATTAATATTTTATTTGCGTAAGAATTACATTGTACTTAAATAAGATGTTCAAAATGTCCGCCATTGTTGGCAAGGCAATGGTAAAGTCGCAGCTCGAATTCATCCCGCACTTTTTGAAGCGTCTCTGGTGTAATCCGCTCACACTCCTCCACTATTCTACGTCTAAGTTCAGGAATATCGCGAGGTTGAGTTTTATACACCACAGTTTTTAGATGTCCCCATAAAAAAAAGTCAAGTGGCGTTAGGTCGGGTGATTTCGCTGGCCATTCTATAGCACCCCTTCTTCCGATCCATTTATCTGGAAATGTCTCATTAAGCCAATTTCCTACAGGCAAGGCATAATGTGGAGGTGCTCCGTCCTGTTGAAAAATAGGTTTTCTTCGTCTAGTAACAAATTTCCATCTTGATCTATTTGTTTTTCTAAGGATTCGGTTATAAGAGGATTTATCAGATTTTCTAATACAATTCCCCAGTTAAATTTTCCTCCATGAAAATAGGACCAATAATTTTATTACCAAGAATTCCGGCCCATACGTTGATTTTCTGAGGATATTGGCTGTGCTCTTCCCGAAAAACATGTGGATTTGTATTGTCCCAGTACCTAAAATTATGTTTATTGACAAATACATTTAAAAAGAAACCTGCCTCGTCAGTAAAACAAATATTTTTAATAAAATTATGGTCTTCATTTGCCCTTTGAGTCATTAATTCGCAAAATTCTAATCTTATGTCATAATCATCCTCAGCAAGCTGTTGTAAAAGCTGTATTTTGTAAGGAAAGAATTTATTTAGCCGTAACGTTTTATGCACAGAGCCAACGGAAATATTTGTTAATCTGGAGACTTTTGGTATTGATGTTTGAGGTTCCATGGCAAAATGACCTAAAATCTCAACTTGTGCAGCTTCAGTTAAAACTCTACGATTCCTTACAGTTTTATTGCATACACTCCCAGTTTCTTGAAATTTATGAACTAAATCCAACACATACTGATGCCCAACATTTTTTTTTTGGATGTCTCTGATTAAAAACACGAGCAGTTCTGCGTGCACAGCGTTGTTCTTCACCATAAATAAAGATTATTTCAATTATTTCTTATAAAGAATAAACCATTGTCAAAATTAAATTGTCAGTACACAACGAAACCAATAATCTACTAATAATAAATTGTTTTAATTTACGGTCAAAAATATCTTACACAAAAAACATTTAAGGCTTTTTGCTAACTTGTTTATTTCGGTATTTATACTCATGCATTTTAATTCAATATTTTTCTAGGTTATAACTTGGCGAAAAATTAATCCGATTTAAAAAAATAATGTGTCAAAAGATTGGAAAAAAAGAGACCTTTAAGAAGAGCTATCACATGATACCCCTTTCCATTTAAAATTTTAGAAGTGATATTCACTACCGCTTAGGGGATGAAACTGCACGATTACAGATACTTGTAAAATGTGTATCCCCGTAAATATAAATAAACGTGTTTTTTTGTTTTTTTATTTTAAAGATATTTTAAAAGTTATTTTGGGTGGCTAGTTTTGAAATGAAATCCCAGTATGAAAACAATGATTGATACATTTTTAAGAAGTGAAGCGAATAGTTTCGGCCACTATGGCCAGCCTCAGGCCTACAATACAAATACATGTGTTGGAATAAAGAAAGTACATATACAAGAAAATGTTAGTTGTTACAAAACAATAAATGCCATGGTATATAGTGGAAAAATATTAACAGTGACCGCAGACATTATGTGTTTAAACATTGATAATGTAGTATGTAAACTTAATTTTTTTTTTACCTAAAATTGAACAAATTTTTCTTTATAATGGTTAAGTTGTCTAATTAATGAAGGTTGAACCATGGAAACAAACGGTCATTGAGAATGAGCGACATATTTTTTTTAAACAAGAAAATCAACCAAATTATCCATATAAAAAAAATTAATTTATTCTCATTTTGGTGATTGGTAGTGCTAACTTTCCATCAAAATTAGAATTAACTGGGGTTTATTTTAAAAAGGGAAAGAGCGACAATTTTTTTTCACAACAATTTGCGACTAAAAAGTGACACATTATCCATATAAAAAAATGTAATTTTTGCTCATTCTAGTGATTGTTAGTGCTTATTTTCCATCAAAATTAATATTAACTGGGGTTTATTTCAAAAAGGGGATTAGCGACAAAATTGTTTTTTTCCACAACACATTTAAGACAAAAAGCGACAAATGTTCCGTATAAAAAACTTAATTTATGCTTATTTTCGTGATTTGTACTGCTTTGTTTCCATCAAAATTAAAATTAACTGGGGTTTATTTCAAAAAGGGGTTGAGCGACAAACTTTTTACCACAACAAATTTACGACAAAAAGCTACAATTTATCAATATAAAAAAAATGTAATTTAGCCTTATTTTTAATGCTAACTTTACCGTAAAGTTAACACTACCAAGGGTTTTTTTTTAAAAGGGGATGAGCGTCAAAATTCTA